ATGCAAAACTTCCAGTACTCCGATTGAGCAGAACCACAGACTAGGAAGTGAAAATGAAAGCCCACCAGTTGACAAAGAACAATATCAACGAATAGTGGGAAGATTGATATATTTAGCTCATACTAGACCTGATCTAGCTTATGCAGTTAGTATTGTTAGTCAATTCATTGATGATCCAAGGGAGAAACACTTGCGAGCTGTGGACAGGATTCTCCAATACCTGAAAGGAACACTAGGCAGAGGACTATTGTTCCAAAGAGGAGGAAATATATCCTTAGAGGTTTATACAGATGCTGATTATGCTTAAGGGCTTCTCAAGGTTGTTTATAAGAGATGTCAACCTCTCTATCTCCTATTGATTGAGATTGCTCAACTCTGGTCGTGGTGAGGTTGGCGTGTTGGTACTACAACTTTTGCTCTTCCATTGATGCGAGATTGTATTCCTTTTTTCCCCATTCTCCACATTGTGGTTTTTTCCTGTTTTCCCGACTCTGTATCCTCACTTGATCAAAGTTAGGATTGAGTCCAATAAGAAAATCATAAACTATATCTTGTTCAATTAAGTCCTTGAATATTTTGGCATTATTAAGACACTTAGTTTTATTTATCCGATCATTATCTAACTCAAGAGATTTTAGGTGATTGGCATATTTAGTAACAGTATTGTGCCTACTTTGTAGTTATCGTCTTTACTTCATACACCTGGGCAACATCTTATGCTTTGGAGTAGGTCTGCTCTAATGCATCCCAAATATTCCTTTTCGTGATTAGGAACATGCAAGTGTCATTGATTCAGGGGACCATGGAGTTCCACAGCCATGCCATAATCAACACTCGTTAGGTCCTCTTAATCCCATTCCGCAAATTTGGGATCTTTAGGTTTAGGGCCAATACTCGATAGGTGATTGAGCTTCCTTTTTCCATTCAACACTATACAAACAAGCTAGGATCATTTCATATGATTTTTGTTGATTAGCATGTATGCAAAAAAATATTTTGCAATTTACTAGAGGTTGGGGTTCAGGTGTCCTCTATTGACCGAATTATGTTGGAACCTCTTAAATGACATATTGGTTGGTAGATCAAACACTCCCTATGGCAATGATGGCCTACAATAAGATATCTAAGCCCATTAGTTATCTTTTGTTAAGATTAGTATAGATAGATGCTTAGTTGTGATTTTGGGGATGAGAATTGAGTATTTGGTAAAAAAAGGGATTTGGTGAAAGATCTCTAGGGATTTCTTGGAGCCTAGGGTTTTGGCTTTGAGGGTGAGTTGAGATCTTTTTGGTGTATCTTTTATATTTCCTTCTTATTCCTTTTGTATTTCTTTGTTATTTCCTTGTTATGTTTAATGGATATTCTTCTTATTATTCTGGGTTCCATCAATTTGGTATCAGAGCATCTCCGATCTAGGGGATGTTTCTGATCCAGATCTGATAAAATAAAAATAAAAATCAAAGAATAGATCTATAAGAAAAAAAACACCTCAACTAATACAATGGTTCCAACATTTTATGGAGAAGTAGACAACACTTGGAATGGTTAATGTTGTGGAATAATATTTTCAACAAAAGAGAATAATTGAAGAAGATGAACAATTGGTAGAAACTCTGAGTGGGCTTAGAGGATGTGCGCTCTACTGGTATAGTCTTTGGAATCTTCACAATCCTAATGCAAATTTGTGCGATTTTACCAAAGCCTTTATAAATAAATATCTACCTGAGATATGTGTGGTAGACGAAAAGGAAGAATTAGAGCATCCAGAACCAGAAGAGGCAATAATCGAAAATGGAAAAAAAGAAAACAGAGAAGGAAAAGAAAGAAGCATAGAAGAAATTGAAAAAGAAAAAAAAAAGTGCACATAGAAGAGCAACAAACAGAGGAGGATTACGACTCAACTCCAAACAAAAAAATGACCAACCAAGGTGTGGAAGAAAATAAGGAAGAAGATGGTGGCCATGAAAATCATGTGTTAACGAACTCGGACTTCCTTACAAAAGAGCATCGTCTTCGCAGATCAGCCATAGGAAGAACCAGCCACAAGGAAAGCACGTAGAGGAGAAGGAAGATCGAGAATGGGCTACTAGTCTAGGTTTTATGGCACAAGAGGTTGAAGGAGAAGACGAAAGAGAAGGAGGAGGAAACGAAGAAGAAGCAGAGGAAAAACCGAAAGAAGAAGAAGACAGAGTACCAAATTAGCGTCAGTAAAAACCAGTAGTGTTCATGGCTATTTTGGAGCACACACAACGGACGATCATCGTGAGCAGCATTGGGACAGAATGGGAATGTTGTCAAATGGCTTCCAAGTTTAACCGAATGGGCCAGGCCTAAAGGAAGATGTGGTCAGAAGGAAATGGAAATAATAGGGTTTCAATTAAGCTGACTGGAACTAATGGCCCAATAGAGGAGGGTTGTCTTATGTGGCCATATCTGTTAGTATACAAACAGGCATCAAAAATGGGACCCAGGTGGAAGCTTTCTCACTTTAACTGTACTCTTCCTCCACCTTAAAGACAAGGTGAATTTTGAAAGGGGAATACTGATAGGCCCATAATAAGATATCCAAGCCCATTAGTTTCTTTAGTTAAGATTAGTATATATAGATGCTTAGTTGTGATTTCTGGGATAGGAATTGAGTATTTGGTAAAAAGGAGATTTGGTGAAGGATCTCTAGGGATCTCTTGGAGCCTAGGGTTTAGGCTTTGAGGGTGAGTTGAGATCTTTTGATGTATCTTTTATATTTCCTTGTTATTCCTTTTGTATTTCTTTGTTATTTCCTTGTTATGTTTAATGGATATTCTTCTTGTTATTATGGGTTCCATCATACCATTTGATGAGACCTTGGGATGCACCACCCTAAAAGCTAACTCAAAGGATGGGAGTGTCAAAGGTCTTATAAACCTCACATTAGTTGCCCATACAACTAATGTGGGACTCCAAGTCCCATGCCTTGCAAATGTAACCCAACATTCCACCACGCTTCCCTAGTGTGTTCCCCCACGCACACTCTACGTGATGAATGCTCTGATACCATTTGATGGAACCCAGAATAACAAGAAGAATATTCATCCAACATAACAAGGAAATAACAAAGAAATACAAAAGGAATAACAACGAAATATAAAAGATACAACAAAAAGATCTCAACTCACCCTCAAAGCCAAAACCCTAGGCTCCAAGAGATCCTTCACCAAATCCCCTTTTACCAAATACTCAACACAAAGAACTCAACACAAAGAAAGGTAGAGGTAGACCAAAACTTACTTGGGGAAGGTAGTAAAGCAAGACTTAATGGATTGGGATATAGATTGGCGGACGGTGTGCCTTAAAACGAAATGGAGAAAATCTATATGCATGGTGGAGGGTTAGACCCGTTGTTATTCCTATGTTCCAGATAGTTCTTTTTTAGTCCTTTTTCCTCTTCATCTCCCCCCCCCCTTTTTTCCCCTTCTTTTATCACTTTTATATTTATATTTATATATATATATATATATATATATATTATTTCTATTTTTTTATTTTATTTTTTTATCTTTTTTCAACCCTTTCGAATCTTTTTTTTGGATTCATCTATCACCGACCCCAATCAATGTGGGATAAAGGTGTTGTTGATGTTGATGTTAACTCAATTCTCATCCCAAAAATCATAGCTAATCATCTATATATACTAATCTTAACTAAAGATAACTAATGGGCTTGGATATCTTATTGTATGCCCATCATGGCCTAAGCTTTGAAAAAGAGAGTACCTAGAGCATACTTGTGAATAGCCCCGCTTTAACGCGCTATAGCGGAGTTGCGTTGCGGTACAACGGCCGGCCACCACAAACAGTGCCACGACGGTCAAGAGAAGTGTAGCAGATATAGCGCCCGCTATTGCGGCTGAATCACGGCGCTATTACAATAGTTTTTGCAAAAGTGTTCTCGTCGTAGAAGGAAGAGATTTACAACTTAGATACAAGTGAAAGTGAAGATAAAGATTTGGATGTTCGTGATTTCAATTATGATTAGTTCCTTAAGTTCTTTGATTTTGACATTTCACTTAAGTGGCAATTTGAATTTTGACTAAATTTGTCACTTTATTTTGTTGTGTTACATTATTTGAGACTTTAATTCCTTCAATTTGCTTATGATTTGAATTTTAATGTTTGAAATCATTTATGTTTGAGTTTGAGATCCTTCAAATTTGTTTTTTATGTCACATTTTTATATTTTAAGTTTTATATTTGTGGAGTACAATTTAGAGTATCACTTAGGTACACTTTGCACAATAGCATTGTAGCGCTACCCGCTATAGCGCTATAGCAATTTTGGAGGATCAGCCATTACGTGCCGCTATCCGAGATAAGTATTACCTAGAGAAAGGCTGGCAGATGTAGAAGGTTGACAATGATGGCCGACTGGTGTAGGAGGGAAAGACAAGAATTGCATAGGGAAGAAGACAAGATTCAACAGCAAACATTAGTGCAATGAAGGCCTACTGGATATAAGAAGAAAACGACTCATTTAAAAACAGCGGCAGCTAAAAGACAGTCCCAAATTGGAACTACTCTGATACCATGTCAAAAATTGCTATGTCTGAATGTCAGGAGATTCTGAATTATGAATTTGTATATTTGAGTATAAATGTTTACAATATATAGACTAATGTTGGTACAAAACTAATGTTGGTACAAAAGTTCGAAGTTATTGGCACTTTTGACTAATTACACATAGTATGGTGGCTTAACCACCTTTTGATTAATTACACATGCTAGGGGGGATCAACCACCTAATAAAGATGCTGGGATCACAATTTCTTTCTTGTTGCGAGTCTGCAAAAAAAACATAGTGAACTAATAGAAAGAAACTGCAAAAGGAGCCATTGTAAATTATACTCAACAATCCAGTTTGAGTATAATTTACAATAAAATGCTTGGCATTAAAACAATAAATTCTTACAATTCTAGATAAGCATCTTAAAATTATTTTACATAGAAAAAAGTTCAAAACTATACCAGATTTCTTGTTTCGAGACAATGTGAATGCAGAACTTGACGGTCTCCTAATTCTCCTCCATTTCAAAACAAGGGAAAACGCTCCAACCAAAACCAGTAAGAGTACAAAGAAAGATAAAGCAATGATGATTATAGTTCTAAGATTCATTTTCTCATTCTTGCTGATGTTGGCAGTGATTGGGAGAATCCCTTCAGAACTTTCACTAGGAGTGATTGGGATAATCCCATCAACACTTTCACCGCCAAAGGGACCACTCCCAACTAAGGTTCCATGTGGCAACAATGATGGCATCCCTGATACCAACTGCTTCAGTCACAACCAGAAAAATATGACAACAATAAAGTAAAATGATATTAGGAGAAACAAAACAACTACCTGGATAAGTAATGTACAAGACCGCATAATCACCAAAAAGGCTCCTATTTAGAGGAACTTTCTTGTGCCAAAACCTCTTGTATGTCAGAACTGCAGTGGTATTCTCAAATTTCTCTCCAAGTGGAACCAAGTTAATATCAACCACAGTTCTTCCCTGATTTTGACTATCAGCACTTACTCCCATTATCCTCACCTGGCTCTGCTTCAAATATGTTCCAGATGCAACTTCAATCTCTAACTCATTAATTAATGGAAAAACAACCAAAGGAGCTGTATCCAGTACAAGTCTGATTTTCATGGGAAATACACAACCACAAGGTGAATAAAAGGGAGTTGCTGTGAGAGGATCCGTACAGATTTGGCCACAAGCTGCCAGAAATTTATTTATACAATGAGTTATGGTACTATGGTATAAGATAATGCTACGTCACAAAATTTCATGTAATTCAATCAGAAAAGGGATTTATCCCACAGCAATTAAAACATTGAATTTTCCATTAAATTGAATATTTAGGTCCACTCCACTGCATTAATTAAACCCATTAGACCCTATCATAACTTAGGGAACCGAACAATAATTTTAAGAAACCAAAGCAAACTTGAAAGAACATCCCGAGGCATAGTTTAAAATAATTTTTTTCCTACAGAAAAACACTTTTACCTTAATAAAGCAGGCAGCAAATATAGTAAATATATTGATTTTTCACACAAAATATTTTTAATCTAAAGCATCAAAATTAGTTAATCAAAATATTCTTCCAAATAATTCAATTTTTGACATTAAGCCTATTTATAGCATCCTACCATGCGCATACATTAAAAGAACTAATAAAGAAGGTAGAATCATAAAATTCAGAGTATTAGGTTACAAAGAATCAACTCATGATTCCCTTATATTAACTTAAATCACCAAAATGCAGAGAAACATGTCAAAATAATGAAAAAGAATTGTAACTATAAGACCAAAAAACCCATCAAGATAAGAAAAATAGTCCTGCTCCTGCCCTGATAAAAATAGGAGAAGAAGAAAGGTGTCTAACTTCTAGAAATTACCTTGATCTTCAAAAGGGGATGGAGCCACAGCATAAGGTTTTACAGTTTGATGACGATGGTGATGATCATGATTTTTTGGTCTTGGAGTCACACTAGGAACTAATATGGGAGAACATAAATTTTTAGTGTCATAGAAAACATTTATTGGAAAATATAATATACCTTGATAAGATGGAGATGGCACAAGAGCAGAAGATGGCCCATATTACAAACATAGAGTGAGAGAGAAAGTGAAATAAAAAGAAAATGAGAGAAAAATGTTCAGACTTCAGACAGAGTTCTGAGTAAACTATTTTCTGTAAATGTAACTGAATGAAAACTGATTGAACTACAGTGTTTTCTGAAATATTTATAGTTAGAGATTTAACTATATAACCAACTGACTGACTAACTGACAGCGCACAGCAGTAGTAACAGCTTAAAAGAGCAGTAACTGACATGCTTAGTTACTCTAATAGCCCAGAAGAAGGTTTAACTAATCATGTTTTAGCTCATTCAGATGAAGACCTCAAAACGAATCTCCTGAAAAAAAATTACAGAAAAAAAATCATAATCCTTTTTATGTAGCTGACTACACTCAGTGGGGAAAGGCTTCTGTTTTTTTGTTGTATAATCCTTTTCATTGATTGCAATGTATGTGATCCAAAATGGAATGGAGCACAACCACATAAAAATATAGCATTGGATTCATTCGGAAAAACTTATGAAATTGTGGACGGGTTTTCCACTACCATGTTATGCAATTTACTCTTCCCTCCAATATTTTTTTTATAGTTACATTAAATCCATTCAAGAACCTTTTCCATCATAGCACATCCTCTAATAGATTATCCTTTCTAATATTCAAATGGAAATATAAACAAGTACAAAATCTCTGATTATATGATACATGAGCCTTGTAAGATGGTGAATGATAAAAAAATGCACCTATGCAAAGAAATTGGATAAATAACTGGAAGGTCGAGCTTGCATTCTGGAAGAAAGCTAATGGAGAGAATGTGAGACTTAATTGCCAACCACTTTTAAGAAATTTGGGCAAGAATAAGACTAGACCAATGCAAAGAGAAAGTTTGTTCATAGGCAAATGCTGTGAATTTAACATCTCCTGCTTATGGCACTGAGGAAAACATGTGTAAGTGAGGTCTTCAATCATTAAATACACCCCCTCCCCCTTCCCACTCAATGAAAAATGAAGCATTTTTAGCTGAAACTATGGACAAAAGATTAACTGATAATGAACTACTTGAAATTTTGAAATGCGTGTATTATGTGACCACATATTTATATTAATAATTACATGGGCTTGAGACCTATTTACATGATGTCGGACTCGTAAAATAAAACCTATGTATATACATTCTAACAGGACTCTACATTTGCAAGGAATAGGTTATTCAATACTAAGAGATCAAAAATAATAAATTTCCCACATTAGTTTCCCATTCAGATTTTCAATAATTACAATACTGAGTCATTAGTTTTGCATATAACCTTACAGGACAGATAATCCAGAATACATTGTGAATTCTATCATCATACAATGTTCAAGTAACATTTCTCTTACAGACAAAGGTCGGTGTAGGCGTAGCATTGGAGAAGGAGACAAGTACATAGACAAAGAGAAATGACCAAAATTTACAATGTGTTAAGCTGCTTCAAAAATTGTAGCTAATACTATCTTATGTTCTACTTTACAACTGATTCTGACAGGTATTAGCATAAAAAAAAACTTTAGAAAGCACATGCAAACGTTAAATCTTACATGTGCAACAAGACTTCCTAAAAATTACAAAAACAAAAGATCTTGAACCCACACTCCATTAAAACAAAAACCACAAGACCATAGCAAGATGTTTTATGACAAATTTGTATTTAATTGGAATATTGACCCAAAAACTATACAAAAAGAAAGTACTCACACACTTAAAGACCATTACTTTTATGTTAATTATAATTTGGAGACAATGCCAGAATTGCAACTTTGTATCTTTTATTGTGAGTTTCCAATCTATAAATGAAAATATTTCTCTGAATTTCTAATATTTCACTATATAAGTTTGTGGTACATTTAGTGTAATTTGCACCAGCTTAGTAGCAAATTCTTGATAATAACAAATATTTCGATATATTACTTAACTTGGACTCTCGAAACGAAGCAGCTTTAAATATGAAATTTATATGCTGTGAACACTTAGAGGTTCGAACATTAAAGTTGCCAGAAATAGACTATTCTGGTATAGGAAATATTTTTGTGTATTAAGAAAATTAATAGGCCAAAAGAAAGGGTAAAAATTAAGTCTTAGTGTCTGTCCTGCTATTCCTACAAAAGATACTGAACAGACAACACCCAATTTAGACCCCAAGAAAATAAACAAATAAAATCCAATGAGGCATCTATAAACAGTGATTTCATTATGACACTTAGCCTTTCAGATGCTAGCTAAATATCCTTCTTGATTTTACTAATACTCAGTTCTCAGATCACTAGATGAAGAAGAAAGCATGGAGACGAGAGATGGCACATATGCAGTTGGATCACATTGCTAAATTCAAGTTCAATGGAATGCAGTCATGAAATTAAAATACTCAAAAATGTTTATATGTAATCAATTGGTAGAATAGTTATTATACAGCACAAAGACACACCAATATAAGCCAGATTCAATATGCAGCATGTGAAGCTGCGTCATAAAGAATTAGGTTTCATATGTGAGGAGCAGGTATCTGGGGTAAACGAATACCTAAATGAAAAGGCTGCACATTCTGACTAATAGAGAATTCTGAAGTAAGACATTAAAACAGCTGTCCCAGACGTAATTCAAATCACAAATAATCTAGAACAAAAATTGGCAACAAACTAATATTTAACCAACACATTATGAGATGGTAGCATATGAATTAAGTTGCAAAAGCTGAGCATTTCGAAACAGTACGAAAAGCGAGTACCTGAGCATGAGAAAAGCAGCAAATGAAGGAAAGTGAGGATGAAGATAATAGCGGTTGGCATTTTCTCTCGCACAAACAAAGATTCACAAAAACCATCGTCAGAAAGGAGCAGCGTCGTCGAGCTCGGTAACCTCGCGGCCAATTATCGTCTACGCGGCGGCATTGCGTATACAGTGAGGGCGAGGAAGGATGGTGTGAATTGAAAACCCTAGCAGAGAGAAGAACGAGAAAAGAAGAAGAAGATTAAGGATGCAACAATGCGGGTGCGTTCGAATCTTCTAGATCCCTGAAACGCGGGAAAAAGAGAAGACCTAAGAGACTAATCCTATATGCATAAACGCATCAGCATAAGAAATGTGAGCACACAGAGATAGAGAGAGAAACGATGAGAGAGAGAGCTTGGAGAGACAAACAAAAAATGGCGGAAGAGAAGAGAAGAGAAGAGAGATCTTAGTTGAAAACTTGAAATGACGAAAACACTGAGAGTGAGTGAGTGGCTTTATTACAGTGATACAGTGTTTTGCGGTGCAGGAAGTGATGAGTGTGTAGAGTGTAGTGTTCTAGCGCACGCGCTGTGTAGGAGAGTGAGAGGAACGGGTTCAGGAAACGACAAATATGAAGCCGTTTCATTTCGTCATTGGAAACCGTTTCTTTTGAAACGAAGGGAATAGGCGGCGATATGGTGGAACGCGGGTACCATGTGAAACAATGGGTAATGGTGGCCGGTGGGCCTCAATTTTTTCTCAAATGAAATCGTCGTTTTCAGTGTTTTAAGACTCCATTCTGTCTCCTCGGTTGACTTGGGTAACCCCTCTTCTTTCAGGATTGGAGTCATAAGTTGGCACATCGAATTTTCTGATCTCCAAAATTCAGGTTTCAATGACTTTCGGGTTAGAGGGGTCAAAGGTGTCACTGCATGTTTTTTTTTTTAAATTTCATGAAACAACGTCGTTTTATTAAAAAAATAAAATAAAAATGCTTGCAAATCTGAATCTTATCATTCTTTTCTTTCCCAACGACGACATGTTCAATCTTCACATCGCTGCTGTGAATCTTCTAGAAAAAGTAAAAATTTACTCATTCAAATGAAATTTTTATGGTCGTCGATGGAAAACAAAAACTCATTTTTATTTCTTTTAAATTTTCCTTTCTTAGTGACTCCATTAACTTGCGGTTGTAATTGGTGAATTATGTTAAGTATATTTGTGGCTTATTTTTTAATATTTTCACATAGGATATGTATATTTAATTTTTTTAATATATAAAACGGGATCAGCAGCGTAGTGACCCTCCGATTAAACCCGTGACCCCTGACCTCGACTGGATCGATAGCCGGGTCGGATTTTTAAACACCGGTTGTTTCTTATCATAATCTATGATCAGTTGATTATATCAAGCATCAACTCCATGAACTCAAAACGGCCACAGAGTGGTAACTCATTGATCACTGAACTAAACAATAAAATCGTGTTTTTTTATGATATTTTATTTAACTTTATTAACATTTAATCCTCAATGAACGTTTGATAAAAAGTCATACGTTATTAATGACCAAATTTATGATATAAGATTTAATAATAAAAATTAAACTTAAAAAGTTGATCAGTCAATGGATTCTCACCAAAATCAAGAAAAGAGATATTAAGGTAAGTTTTTGAATAATGTTTTTAAAAATAGTCTTTTGGTTTTCAAAAAATAAAAAAATCAGTTTGATAATATCTGTTTTATGAAGAAGAAAAAAATTGTAACTATTTTTTTTTATTTTTAGAGAGATATATTATCTTACCTACTCTCTTTTTTATCTATTATTATTTATTACTCTGAAATATTATAAGAATCTCAACTAATTTCTATCTTTCCTCTTGAGATTATGATCTATGGTATTGAAGAATACTAAGTAAAGACAAGTAGAATAACTTATCTCATCTTTAAAATCAAATATAAAGAACTTTTTATTTTGTGTTTTAGTTTTTAACTTTCAAAATAAAAAAAAATACAGAAAATAAATTTTTCATAACTATTCTCTAAAATGGTTTTAAGAATAAAAAAATCAAAACACAATCATGCAGAATATAATATTTTATTAACTTTTTTTTCTAATTGTATTTTTCTTTAATTTTTATCATTTAAAAAATTAAAAATATTAACTTTTCAATTTTATTTTTGTACATCTCTACTAAATGAAATAAAAAAACTTTATAAAGTATAATTTTTTATTCAATTCATTGTAGTTTTTTTTTAAAAAAAAATCAAACAAAA